ATCAATTCTCCTTCTTTTACGACACTCCTTGTCAAGATCCCTTCACGATCTTCCCGTATACGGCCCTTTTCCAGTAGCCACCGCCGCATGACCCCAGGCAAGCATCCAGACGATAGCGCGGGAGTTATCCACCCAGACGAACGATAGAAAGCAACGTTGAAAATCGTAGTTTCAGTGATCAATTGTTCCGGGTTATACAACAGGACGTCTGTTGGTGACGGAAGCGATGGTAGATGGTTGCGTTGGCGGGCTTCGTCGTAGATACGCCTGTTTGTAGTCTTCGTGATGGTAAATAACGATGGGGGCGTGCTTTTCTGGTCAAGGTGGAGCAGTATCGTTTCAATCCTCCTCTCCGGTATATTCCTAGGTATTGGTAAAATGGTTGGGTCGCTTGTAAGTGGTGGCATGGGCGTCGTGGTCACCGCCAGCTTGCCTGACCTCGAAAGTGTGATACGAACCTTGATAACGAAAACATTCAGTGACGCAGGGGACGGAGAAAGGTTAAGCATTACCCGACGACTGGGCACATGAAGCTTGCTTTCTTCGCTTTGATAAATCGCCTCCAAGCAGACAATTTTGAGTTTTTGGTACATCAGAGAGGATTTTGCAATTTCCCACTTATGTTCATCAGCTGCAACCGAGAGGCGATCTCGATGGTAGGGCCGTCAAGGGAGTTGATATCTTTTTCGTGAGCCTTATGGGTAGTTAGACTTCCACACCGTACAACGGCCTGTCCAAGACCGCTGTAAAATGATGGAACGTCCGACAAGTCCCACATCTTGATTGTTCTATCCTGGCTGCCGGTGAACATGAAGCGACTTCCACTCCTAGAAAGTGCAACAGCTCCTATGCTTTCGCTGTGTCCTTCGCATACAGCAACGCAACCGTAACCCCATTCAGGCCCATCCCCAGAGAATGGAACCCAAAGCCTAGCTGTCCGATCCTTGCTCCCACTAGCTAAAAGAGCACCGTCTTGTCCGTGGTCCAAAGCTAGAACAATATCAGAATGTCCATCCAACAAGCGTGCATCGAATTTAAGCGTCGAGTAAACGCGGATAAGCGAGGAGTTGGTGGCAAGCGCGAGATGACTATCTTGCACAGCCGAAAAGGGTGGGCTGAGGAAAGTCGCATCCACTATCTCATCATTGTATCCTATTAATTGCCGGCTCGACGACCCATTCGCGAGAGAGTGGAACAAGATATTTTGGTCCGCGTGTGCCGCTACGATGGTGG